CATCTCTTTACACTCTCCTACCCACCATTTCCCGCGGTCATTCCTCAGGCTCTTGGTGGGCTGGCGTGTAAGGGATTTGCGCACTGTATCATATTTGGCATCCGGAGGGAGGGTTCTGAGGGCGTCCAGCAGGGCAGCCAAGGTCGACGAGATTCATCGTTTGTGTTTTGAGCCTGCACCAGGGTACGACGTTATTATTATCGATATTTCTATAGCCTCTTTGATTTGCTTACAATGTTCATAGAGTCCTTCGGCTGGTGGTTGAACTGATAGGGAATAGAAGAGCTCCGCTTCGAATACCGATTTGAAACTATCGCTGATCTTGTATTGTGGGTTTCCGTTGTTTGACAGGCGTAAGGAGAATTTTACTTGTGACAAGGCGTGGTCCGTATCCAGTAAGAGCGGCGGTGTTTAATCGACACCCTCCAGCGGTAACTGATGGTGATCTGGTCGACTTGCGTGCAATGCTATGAAATCGTTGGCGGTTTCCATGTGAAGCGGTGTCGTTTCTTGGGTGACAGGAATAATCCGTGGTTAGCGCAGAGTTGAAGGGGGCGATTTCCGTTTGATCGTCCGTTAAGATACTTAGACACAGATAGAATGCAGTGTCAGTAAAATTAAGATCAGCCACCATGTTTTGTGAAACCTTTCGGTACGAAATTCGTTATCCCACTAAATGTAGATGTGTAGAGNNNNTCGCTGGTTGGGATACATTACGCATTCCGAAAGGCAGTCTGTCACACTGCAACTTGATTACAGTTGCCGCTCCGAATTGAAAGAACTGACATGGCGGTCAAAAATTTGACGAATGGATGAAGTAAAAAGAAAACGGTCCCATGGAGTAGGCGTAGCTCATCTCCCAAACTGCGGTCGAAAACACTGTTATTTGGAGACACCTAGGAACATGGTAGCAGCCTAACAGTAATGGCGCTCTTGTCATTTTTACTAGGTCAAAATGCTATAAGGGGTACATTCATAGTTCAACTGTGTCCTCGGTGTGCCAACCATAAGGGTTCACCTTCGTTTGCTTCCTCTCATAACAGGTCCACTCCCCATCAATCATACACAGTCATATTTATTTTGTGTGTATTGTGAATTTGGCAGCGACCAGTGAGGTTCGCTTTAATTTATTTCGTTATAGGACGACGATGATAACAGTGATTGATAATACCAAGTGTGGGGACATCGATAATTATGCTACTTTCGAAAAACGGGTTCCAGAGGCAACTCCAGAGTATGGTAAGTAAAGAAAGCTCTTTCGTGTTTGACTAAGGCAGATCGTATTGTAAAGTATTTGGAGTCATAAAATAAGCGATATACAACAGACGATTGAAAAGATGCATGTTGGTTGACAGAATGATTAATCTATCGAAAATTACATGTAGTCGTACACCTGCGATCATCATCATTTTAAAGCGTAATACAGTGAAGTGAACTTTACTGATCGTTGCCAAACTTATACTGCATACAAGGTAAGTGAGAATGTTTAAGGAGAATAGGGATTAGACTTAATTTTAGGGACGGGAAAAGAAAGCAAACCTCCTCCTGTGATGAGGTTAAACCATCCAATTTTCAGCTTAGCAAGAAGAGCCCAAACAGAGAACGTTCTACGCACAATGGCGACAGCTGGAATAGGGTTTAGGCCATGAATCTGGACCTCCGCGTGGAAGATGAACAGCGGGTCATCATCATCACCTATTTCAAGAACAAAACAACTGGAGAACGAACTGGCGAACAATGCAAGGCCACCTTAAGGAAGTATAACACTTTGGTAGCGGGACTGCACCTTGAATCTGGACGATTATCGTAGTCATTGTGGGATGCGCTATTGTTGGAAAAGTTAAAAACTCATCCCATTATTATCGTGTGGCAGCAACCTGGATTTTTCTAGTGTCTGTAAGGTTTGCAATGTCAGAAGTAAAAATGTTTAGGATATATATTGATGTGTGTGTCTATCGTTACCGAATGCGTCTTCAAGTTGTGAACTGAAGAACTGTCGCTTAGGTGATCCACCACAGATAAGTGCTCATTGCTTCATTGCTGAACGATCGTGGAAGATCAGTGGCGATGCAACTGAACATCATTACATTTGTTTGATATGAAATATTCCAGTAAGAAAAAACGCAGTGATGCGTTGAAAGCAGGCAACAGTGAGAATTACGTGAAATCATCATTGCGCCCGCACCTGAAGTGAACCGTTTTGAATCAGACAAGTTCCAGTCTGGCTCAGTCTTAGTTATGCGTATAAACGATGCTTATTCTTTCAAGGGCCTGCAGTGTTGGAACGCAGTGCTTGAAACGGTATGTATGCAGAGTTCGATTGGGGACTCTGTGTGTTGACCATAGTGGTTCATCTTCTTCTCCCTCCCTCAAAAAAGATCCAATCCCTGTCCACCTTAAATTTTACCACTAACCTTGTATGTATTGCGAGTTTGGCAGCGGTCAGTGAGGTTCGCTTCACTGTATTTCGCTGTACGATGATGATGAGTGTTGGAACGTGAAATGGTTTCATGTAACAGGTAACTGTGAACATCGAATGGCTATCGATCGAGTGTTCAGTCTTCATCATAAGGTAATGAAAAAGATTCCTGATATTCCCTCAAAGCCTTAGTAAAACGGGCACGAAGGGAGTAGTGAGCGTTACACTTCCACAAGGCGGTGTTCGGTCGGGAATAGTTGTTCTTTGTAGATTACAGTTGGGATATCACTAATTTGACATTTGCGGGCAGAAGACACCCGTCGTTTAGCAATGTTTAACAATCGATGCTTACGTAGTCTGGCCCAAGTGGGATGGAGTGAGTGGGTTAGTAACTTAGAAGTGAGTCGTCGGGTGTTCGGGAATACAGCAAACAAGAACTCGCTATCTCATCGAATCCAGCTCAGTAGGCTCCATTGGTTAGGACACGTTTTGCGTATGTCCGAAGGTCGCCTACCGCTAAGCGCCTTGTT